GGTGCTCGCAGCCGGTGGCCGCGTGCGGCTGGTGGACGTCGGTGTGGGGATGCCATGCCGTTCCCTCTTCTCGTGCCTAAGCTGGCTGGTTGGTTGGTTTGGTTGGCTGGCTTCCGCGTCGGCTGATTGGCTGGTTGGGCGCGGCGGCCGTGCGCGGCGGCTCGTTCCTGCTCCGCGGGGCCTGGTTGGTTGGTTGATTGGCCTTGGCTGGCGGCTGGGCGCTGCTGCTTTCTCTCGCTCGGCTGGTTGGTTGGCTGGGCTTGGAAGGCAGCCAGGCGCTGCAGCTTGCAATGGCCGCTCGCGCGGGCCCGGCTGGTGGCAGCCGTTGCCATCGCCTCCGTGGCGTTGCTTCGTCCTGTTGGGTTGGTGCTTGCGCGCGCGGCTGGAGCCGCCGTCGCCCACCCACTTCCGCCCTGTGTGTTCCGCAGGGTTTGGGCCGGCGCCCCTGCCAGGCTGGGCCCTTTGGTGTGGTCCAGTCTGGCCCAGTCTGGCGGCGCCGTGTGTCTTCCTCGCCCAACGGAGGCGCGGGGGCGCCGCGCCTCTCTCCCATGCGGAAGGCGTGCGCAGAGATTTTCTAGTCTTTCTGGTTCGAGGGAAAAACTGATGAGTTGCTTTGCGTCGTCAAAGTGGACGCTCGCGCCCACAATGGCCGCGCTGGCGGCATCGGTGACAGCTTTGCCGGCGTCCAGTTCCCAGCCTAGCAATTCCCAAACGACAGTCCTGGCTAGTCGAGCTGACCCCTGTGGGCCAACAAGTGAATCTCCATCGTCCGCGGGCGCGTCCATGTCGTCGACAAAACGCAAATACAACAAGTGAAACAACGCAGCGAGGACGCCCCGCACCGTCAAGTCGAAGCGGCCCCACCCAGAGACAGAGGCGGGCGAGCCAAACGGCAAGCAAAGACATTGCATTGCGTGGCCTTCAGCGACTGCTTTTGGCCACGCCGTCACTGCCAGAGGCAAGTGGCTGCTACAAATTGGCAGAGTCTTAAAGGCAAGCCTGAAATCGTCTTTTCTCCACCGCATGGCGACGCGACGATGGCCTACAGATGCGTGGCGCACGAGTGCTACCAACGAGTCAAGTGTGTCTGGGGCAGTCCTTTCGCTACGCACAACCGCGCGATTCACTGAAGAGGCAGTGAAATCTTTTATGCAGCGAATCTTGGGCGCACCGTCTCTCGCCCCCTGGACGATGGGGAAACGGGCCGTTCAACGCAAGTGTCCATGTTCAAGGCTCGAAGACGGTTCTTGCCTTCATCAACTTCCGTTGCGCAGGTGGGCAAAAATTGAGCGCGAACCCTGGCGTCGCCGTTTTTCTCCGCGGCGATTCTGCTCAGGGTAGCCTCAGTCCGTCCACGCGAGCGGCTTAAAAGTGACCGCAAGTTCCAGAGACACGTCGGTTAATTTGTCCCACCAAGGGGAAACCAAGGGCAGGCAATCGGCAGGCAGGCAATCGCCCCACCAAGGGAAAACCGTGGCAGATATTGCGTATCGACGCCGCGTCTGGTCAGCGTATGGCCCCGAGCATTTCCTGCAGCAGCAGAAGATTATTCCCTGGCCCCAGCGCGCTCTGACAGTGCGCGGGCAAACTTGTTTTACATAGTTTGCCGCAGTGTGTCGGTCACCAGCTTCCGCTGCTGCCAGAGAGCAAGAGCCGACCGCCGCGCAGTCTGCAGTTCCGCAATCGGCATGGAAGCCACTCGCGAAACGTGGCCGCTCAAAACTCTTGGCACAGGCGGCGTTTTGTCGACCGTGGGCAAGCAAAGCGCCCATTGCAAGTGGTCGCGCGGACCAAGGCGGCGCAAATCTTCGCGATTGTTAAACTGAGAGAAGGCCTTCTGGATCTCGCCAAAGGGGGCAATCTGGGGCGCGCGTGCACTTGTACAGGTGTACCTGGAGGAGCAGAGGCATCCCCCGGAGACTCGCTGTCTGAGTCTGCGCTATCAGCGGGTGGCTCTGAAACCACTCACCACTTTGTTCCCCCAGGAGTTGTGCTGCTGGCTGGCAGCGCGAGGGCTCCGAGATCTGTTCTGCTGCCCGCTGTCGGCGCTGCCCCTCGGGCGCTTGGTCGGAGATTTGACCCGCCGATCCGAGGCGCCCGCGCCACCCCTGCCATTTTTTTCCACCCTTGCCGCCCTTGTTGCTGGAGGGCGCGGCGTTATCGTCGAAGCCTTTCTGCCATCCTTTGGGCTGGCCCTTGGGCTGGCCTTTGGGGGCTGAGGCCCGCGCGATCTCTGCAAAGTGTTTCTCCGCCTTGTCCTTCGCGTCCTTCAGGACGTCGCGGTCGATCTTGGTGAAGTGCGGCGTTAAATCCACCTCGTCTCTTTCCAAAGCCCTGGCCATGGCCCTCCGCTGGAGCACGTCATATTGGTAGGCTGTTCGAACTCATCCGTGCTCCTCCGCAATATGAATGATGCTGTGGGCATAAGCGAGGAAATCTGCGGTGCTGCGAGCTTTGAGAATCACCTTGAAGCCCCACTCGTGCAGGTGCCCCATGAAGGTGGCGAAACCGATGTAATCAGCCTTTTCCACCCACGCGCCGCTCCTCATAAGAGCCATCTCCAACGACAATGTCGATTGCCGGAGTGCGGCTCCACGCGGGCCGGCGATGATCACGAAGATCTTCGCCTTCAGCTGATCCGATCCAGGTCCGACCCTTATCGTGCGCCATTTTCGTTGCAGCCTCGAATTTGGCGAGGACCTCTTCTGACGGGAGCGTGTCCGCAGAGAATTTCTGCAACCCCAGCTCCAATTTGCGATCTTGCAGTTTGAAATTCACCCCCTTGGGTTTTCCCTTCTGCAACGCCTGAGACTGCAGCTCTGCGAACTGTTTGACTGTTTCAGCCATGCCCGTGAACTCGCTGGGCGCGTGGACTGCTTGCACTGGCGCCGACGGCGCGGGTGCTGCCAAGTGCGCGCGCTTGCCCTGTATCCTCAACGCAAACATTACCTGCGCGGGCACAATCTTCCACGTGCGCCTCTTCTCGCCATCCTCACTGGCATACGGGGTGGAATTGACAGGGAAAAATGCCTTGATCATTTCCCTCATGTGAGGGTCCTCGAAGTCTGCCGGGGAAATGCTACCTGCTGTCTCCGCCAAAAGACGCGCAATGGACACGTAATAGAACATATCGTGTTTCGTCGCAGGCATTGCGTCGACATTGATGGCGAAATCGACCCACTCACGGACCTGCTCTGCGCTCGCGCCATTGAAGGCGCGCGGGGAGCTGAGGCGATCATCGCCGCAACATCGCTGGACGAGAAGGCCATTGCGACAGCAACCTGCGAGACGCTGAGCAAGGTCTGGGCTGTGAGAGGGCAGATTGCTTGCGTGGTTGTCTGAGCCAGTGCGGCAGAACGCTCGAGACAAGAGACGACAATGCTACCTGCGACTGCGCGGTCTGCACCGTGGGCGCAGAACGTAGCCAGCGCTGATGCGATGCCTATCCCCCCCGCAGCCTGAGTGCGCCACCCAGGCCTCCGGAGGGCGTCATAGGCGCGCCTGCCGAGCGTTGCGTGCGATGCTGCCCTGGTGCGAGAACCTGCCTTGCCGCGCTGGCCCCCTGCGGCTGGACGGTGCTGGGCTGCCCTCAGACATGGGATTTCTCTGTCGCCGCCTCCGCCGCCAGGGGCGCAGAGCAGATCTGGATGGTGAAATGGATGAGTGAGCGCCCATGGCTAGCGCGTCCGCCTGGACGAGGCGCGAAGGGGCTTGCGCTCGTCCTCCGCTGCAAATTGCTGTCCGTCGTCGCAGAGCAGGCGAATCCGTCTCCAATCCGTCTCCAAACTGCCTGCCGGGCCAGAGCAAGGAGAGAGTCATTTTTAGCGTGCCGAGGCCAGTTTGGGCCAAATAGTAGCGCGCGAGGAGTTTCCCCCATCCCACGCTAATTCGGCCGACCATCGCCGGACTGGTACTTGTCGGGCTGCCCGAAAAATTGCTCCAAAGAAATCCGTCCGCAGTGGATCGAACTTTTAATGGCTGGGGCCTAAATTTCACGAGCCACACCAGAATTCCATTCTGAGTTTCCCTAGAATCGGGGTCCGGCATGGACAGTAGAACACCAGTGCCCTTTTCTGGCAGGATGCCGGTCGAGAGCAGGGACTGACCGGACGGATCCGGGCAGAGCGCCCTGTCTCGTTGCGTGCAGGTGTGGGGCCAGGGCGGCGCCCCCACATTAAGGTATATGCCCCCGCCTGCGCGCGACGCACGGGAACCGCGCTGGGAACCCTGCGAGAAGCGGGCGCCCTGGGCGCGTCGCGGGAGGTAGCGACTTGGAAGAAAGAAGCCTGGAGGCCCGATCCTCCCGCGACAAGGGGCCCCCGGTGCCCGCGAGAAGGCGGGGGCCGGAGAGCGTAGCCCGACAGGCTTGGGTTTGCCGCCCGCGAGAAGGCAGCGAACCTGCGCGCGCCCTTGCACGAGGTAAAGCCCGCGAGAAGGCAGCGACCCGAAAGAAATAAGGCTTGAGTTTGCCCGCGGGAAGGCAGGGACTTTGGGCGCGCCCGCGAAAAGGCAAGACCCCATTAGGTTTGCCCGCGAGAAGGCAGCGAAGTGACCCTGCACGCAGCATGCCACACGGAACCCGGCAGAGCCCGGGAGAAGGGTGGCCTGAGTTTGCCCGCGAGAAGGCAGGGACTCTGGGTGTGCCCGCGAGAAGGCAGGGGCCCTGCACTTGCCCGCGAAAGGCAAAAACCGAGAGTGAGAAACACGGTGGCTTGAGTTTGCCCGCGAGATGGCAGGGGCTCTGGGCGTGCCCGCGAGAAGACAGGGACCCTGGGTTTGCCCGCGAGAAGGCAGTGACCCTGCGCGCGGCTTCTCACAGGGAACCTGGCCGAACACACGTTGCTATTAAGGAACCCTGCGGTCAGAAGGCCGGGCCCAGCAGAAGACGACCGCGGTCGCGCTTTGCCAGGATCCCACGGCTTCACGGACGAGCAGGGCCGAGAGCCGCGACGCACGACCTGGAGACACAGGTGCCGCGCCGAGCAATACTTCCGCCATTCCAGAACAAGCGGGCCGGCGCCGAGGACCGCGCGCCGGCCGTGCAGGCACCGAGGCGCGCGAGCGGAGGAGAGGGGGGGAGGTGGGCGACAGCGGGCCTGCCCCGCATGATTTTCCTGTGCCAGAAACAAGTTTACGCTTCATAAAAAGAAGAGGAAGAGCCCAGATGATCCCAACCCTGGGGGCAGCAAGCGATATGCGGGGCAACCTGCTGATCGACGACGACCCAGAGGACCGGCAGTGGCCGCCGCAGCAGCTAAATTTCAGGGCGCCAGTGCGCCTACTCCAGAGGAGCCTGTGCCACGTCGCGGCCCTGCACCAGTTCGGACGCACGGGACAGGATGGGGGCCCGCGCTGGAAGGAAGGACATGGGATGCTTCCTCCACGCATCGCACTGGGAAGCTCCTTGCTACCACACCAAAGGTGCCAGGAGCAGTGCCCAGCAATAAGGCTGCCGAGTCCTACAACGCCAAGGAGAAGAAGTACCAGGACTTCGATATCAGTACCCCGCAGGGAACTCCAAGGACGCCTAGACGATCTGTGGGCGCTGCCGCGTCGGCAGCGAGCGCAGCAGCGCCCGCAGCGCCAAGTGCGGCCCCGCGTTCTGCGGGGCAACTGCTCAGAGTTCTGCGGGGCAACCTGCTCGCAGTTCAGCGGGGCAACCTGCCCCTGCGCTGGAGGTGCCACCGGAACGCAGAGAGTTCTGGGATAGGATGCGCATTTCCAACCGCATGAAGGTCAGCCAGCGAATCATCCGCGGATTAACGATGTATCCGACCGATGCGTGGTGGTGCAGTGCAACGTCATGGACACTGCTGTCCTTGCGGATCAAGGGGGCATGCGCGCCAAACCGTGCGAAACATCCTGCGGCAACGCCTAGCACTCACGTTTGATTCTGAAAGGGGATATTTGGAGAGCATCCTCAGGTCAGATAATATTCGCAGGCCGAAGTTCAAGTACGACGATCAACGTCAGGTTTCTGAGAGGTTGGCAACTGCCCTTCGTCACGCGCCATTGCCACGGACATATTCATTCGTTACGTGACGACGTATGATGAGCACGACGGGTGGGCAGAACTATCACAGCTACTCAACGCATGGCCAAGGATGCGAGAGATATCACTCTAAGCACTTGGATACGGTACGCCGCATGCTCAAGGGCCAGCACTGGGCGTGCCAGGCATATGCTGTCTAGGAACTTATTGGTATGCTAGATGAGTCTGGCATGAACAAGAATAGGCTGCATATCGAGAATATGAAGTACTCCGCCATGAATTTCGACACATACTTCATCCGTCCAACTAACGGACACAGCAGCCCTGGTATTAAGTGCCCTGGGTCATTATATATATATAGATCATGGAACTCGATGGAAGAATCTATAGAGTATTCTCAGCATTGGATTATCATGCCGCGCCGACGACGCCATCAAGAAGAGGGGCAGACAGACAGTGTGTACATGGCTGCCCATGCCTTCCTGGCCTGGTGACAACGGGATTCAGTCCGGCCTGCGCGTCGATTCGGAGGTCCTGATCATGGTCAGCCTGAAGAACCTGGTTCGGGACAACATTCCGATCTTGCGGTCGGCGAGTGACATCGTCATGGCAGCAGGCCGGAATGACAGGATTTCTCCTACCCACATCGTCCAGTTGATCGGGTTCCTGTCTAGCCATCCTCGTCAGACTAATCGTGTGGGACAGGTATGGATAAATCCGTTTTATATTTGCGAGGTGACAATCAGCCGTTCCCGAGTGTTAGAATTCATGGTATGTATGATGATGCATCATCTTCGAAGATTTTTCCAGGTACCCCCTGCAACCTGAAGTGTCCCGACCCGCCCCTGGTTCAGGGGGTCGCGTTCTCAACTGCGCCCATGATGGACGCGTGTCATGCGGGGGCGCCTGCAGGGGGATCCGATGGATCATGGAAGCAGGCTCAGAGCGGCGATGTGACTGGTAGTACGCCCACCGACACGTTGTGCGCCAACGATCCGTGGCGTGCTCATGTTCAACAACTGCCAGTACCTGCAGGGCAACCTGCCTCATTCGCTCCTATGAACAGAGCTTCTGCACCATTTGGTACTCCACAGAGTGCCGGAAGCATCAACAGCCTGCGGGCGAGGCTCCAAAGCATTCGGATGGATCCGCAGCTCTACCAGGCTCTACAGGCGACATCGCCATTTGCATCGCCACGTCCGAATGCGGGGCAACCTGCTATTCCTGACCAAGACGCCATACAGAGAAGTTCAGGTGGTGAGCAAGAGTGGGTGCATCGGCAGATGCGCGAGTCCGCTCAGAGCATGCGGAGGGATATTATTGACCTCCCCAGTGCCAACTGGACGCCGCCGTGGGAGTATGTCCCGGATCCAAATCCTTGACCGGACAATCCCAATAGGTTCGGCTATGCGCCAGCATTCTTCAGTCATCCGACTTGCGATCCTACGTCTGCTGATCGTCCAACAGCATCGCCAATGGATCATCCATTCTTTTCTGACTTTCATGCCCAGGTCAGTGGCACTCCTCGGGTGGGAACACAGCCCGAAAATCCATGCGTTCGGGCGACGGCCGACGACTTCTACCAGTCGCAGTTGACACGTGGCTCAGGATATGCATCAGGCGTGCCCGGACAGATACCTTACTATGGTTATCTGGCTCCTCCAAGGGGTCAAGATGTGCTTCAACAGGCTCCAGGCCTAGTGCTGCCGCCGACCTTGGGAGAGCTGCGCCCTGAAATCCTGGCCATGCACGAGGCGCAGCAAGCCAATGTGGCTATGCAGGCTACGCGCCAGCGCCGAAATCAGGATCGTCAGGCCTACAGAATGCTGAGCCGCGCGGGGCAACCTGCTAATCGCAGTATAGTAGGGGCACCTGCGAGCAGCCCAGCCATGGTTGCATCAATGCAGCTACCGACAGTCTCACCTATTCGGTTCGAGGCTGGGGAATCCACCCTGGAGCGTCAGATGCGCATCAGGCCATCGGCAACACCGCCCATCATCAGTGACGGCGACTTCAGTAAGTGTGCCATATGCCTGGGCCTGTTCATGAATCACGACAAGGTCTGGCGCCTCCAGTGCGGCCACATATTCCACGCGCAATGCTGGGATTGGTACACGCCCATGTGGATAGACAGGTGGCTGGGAACATGGCAGGTCCCGCAAGCGAGGCCCCTGCGCTATATGCAGGGGCGTTGGCC